ATATATATATATATATATATATATATAAATATATAAATATATATATATATATATATATATATATATAATATATATATATATATATAGTGTCATCGTGCAAACACAATGATATGTACCCATTTATATTAGTTATATAAATAGGTACCTAGAATGATAGTAATACGCATAAGCATATTACACTAATTATCAACGGATATGTAATTGATAATGCAGAGTATATATCCAATAATTATAAATCGGTTTCAATCTCTCTCTCTCTCTCTCTCTCTCTCTCTCTCTCTCTCTCTCTCTCTCTCTCTCTCTCTCTCTCTCTCTCTCTCTCTCTCTCTCTCTCTCTCTCTCTCTCTCTCTCTCTCTCTCTGCCTCAAATTGCTGCGGTTACCCCTTTCTCTTCACTTCTCTCTGCAGCCTTTGTCCCTCTGGCGTCCTCGTGTTTGCCTTCCATCGCCGTCGCGAGGCATTTCCGAGTTATTTAGATAATGCGACCGGACTCCGCCGTGATAAGATACGGTGGACCGAACATGATAGAAAACTGGGATAAGAAGTTTTGTAAATGCTGTTTTGAAATCATATTTTGCACAAAAATGACAACTAATACATGTGTGTGATTGTGTGTTCGTGCTTGAAGCGCATACGTGCTTGCTTGCGCGACCATGTGTTTGCGTGTGCGTGCGTGCGTATGACTTTACGAATGTGCATTCATCTGCCTTCATGTGACATGAGCAGCCCCCCCCCCCCACACACACACACACCGCCGCGGCGCCACCTCGGACACGCCATGATTCGCGCGCTGTTGCCACGTCGCTGCACCGTTGCGTCGCGCGGTATCCTAGGAACAGTAATAGTTTCTCTTTAAATATCCCATGTAAACTTTATAGAAATTAAAACGAGTCCTGCTTGTAATTCATAGGTGCTAGCCTACGTTTTTAATGGTTATCTCTAGAACAGTAAACGGAACTGTCTGATTGTTTAGTGTTTCTATATGTTAAGAGGTTAAGAAAACTATAAGTAAAAATGCCCTTACTCTTACTTTTTCATTACAAAATATGCAAGAACTGAAATGTAACATTTCAATACCAATCAGCAGCGCCTTGTGTGCGCGCGTGTGGCAGGTTTCAGCTTCCTGCACAAAACGTTTTGGTGGGTCGACGGGAAAACAGGGGGGGGGGGGGCGGTAAAAGAGGGAAGTAATGGAAATAGCAACAGCAGTATGAAGGTGCAATGGTGATATTGACAAGAAATTATACATGGTCGTAATAACAAGAGTAAATATAAATTAATGAAAATAAGAAATGATGATAGTGAAAAAATGATGATGATAAGGATGATGCTAGTAATAATAATAATAATAATAATAATAATAATAATAATAATAATAATAATAATAATAGAGATAATGATGATAATAATAATAATAGAGAATGATAATAATCATAACAACAACGAAATTGATTATAATAATGATAATGATAGTGATGATGAGAATGATGACAATAATAAGGATAATAATGATATTATTATCAATAACAATTATAATAACAATAATAACAAACAAAATAATGGTGATGATAATAATATCAATGGCTATAGTAAAACTAATAAACATACATGACCAATAACAGTAAAGATAAAATATAATGATAATAAAAAATTATAATAATGACGATAATGATAACATAAACAATAATGATCATAACAATAACAGCAACAGTAGTGATAATAACGACTGTGAAGGGAGTCATGCGTGGGCGTATGTGTCGAGGTATTGAATAGTTGTTGAGCACAAGCTGTTTAGCGTCTCGCGTATATTTAGTCGTGTTACTCTGATTTTCGATAGAGTAACGAAACACCCGTTTTCCATTTCCCTGTAATTACTAAATATTCTATTCTTAATTACGTACTCTTCGTCCCAGTAATGCGCTCCATCACAATCTCTCATCGTGTTATCGTTGCCGAGCGGCTTCTCGGAATCGCAAGCATGATGAAACGCGCGCACTAGCTGTCCGAGTCTCTCTCTCTCTCTCTCTCTCTCTCTCTCCTCTCTCTCTCTCTCTCTCTCTCTCTCTCTCTCTCTCTCTCTCTCTCTCTCTCTCTCTATTATATATTATATATATATATATATATATATATATATATATATATATATATTATATGTGGGTGTGTGTGTGTGTGTGTGGTGTGTGTGTGTGTGTGTGTGTGTGTGTGTGTGTGTGTGTGTGTGTGTGTGTGTGTGTGCGAATGTTGATATACACATAGAAGGTAAAATGTTCTATTGCATTACTGAAAAAAAAAATCATGTGAGATTCTGAATGTGTATAGAACACGTCCCGTTTAGTTAGCTCGCAATGTACGATAATTCGAAAATGCGCCATATTGCCGCCACAGTGCCATATATATAAGGAAAACTTTAACATTTTCTTTCCTTAGTGAAAATCAATCTTTAAACAATCTGATGTAACAATTAAATACTAAGCAATAGCCGAGAGTATGTCAGTTCCAA